GGGGGGGACCCCTGCCCCCCCCCCCCCCCCCGAACCCCCGCATGGCCCCCCCCCCCCCCCAACCCCCAAAATTTGGGGCAAAATCCACAAAATTTGGGAGGGGAAAAACCCCAAAATTTGGGGGAAAAAAATCCCGAAATTTGGGGGAAAAAAATCCCGAAATTTTGAGGGAAAAATCTGGAAATTTGGGGAAAAAAAATCCCAAAATTTGGGGAAAAAAATCCCTGAACTTTGGGGAGAAAAATCCCAGAATTTGGGTGGAAAAATCTGGAAATTTGGCGGAAAAAATCCCGAAATTTTGAGGGAAAAATCCGGAAATTGAAGGGAAAAAAACCCCAAAATTTGGGATAAAAATCCCAAAATTTGAAGGAAAAAATCCCGAAATTTGGGTAAAAAAAATCCCGAACTTTGGGAAAGAAAAATCCCAAAATTTGGGGAAAAAATTTCATAAAATTTGATGGGAAAAATCCCAAAATTTGGGGAAAAAAACCCCAAAATTTGTGGGAAAAAATCCCAAAATTTGGGTAAAAAAATCCTAAAATTTCTTTTTAAAAAACCCCAAAATTTGGGGAAAAAAACCCAAAATTTGTGGGAAAAAATCCCAAAATTTGGGTTAAAAAAATCCTAAAATTTGGGTAAAAAAATCCCAAAATTTGGGGAAAAAATCCCGGAATTTGAAAGGAAAAAAAATCCCCAAATTTTGCCTCAAATCCCCCAAAATTTTTGGGTGGAAAATCCCCAAAATTTGGGATAAAATTCCCGAAAATTTGGGATAAAATTCCCCAAATTTGGGGTCGATTTCCCCCCCCCCCCCCCCCCAGGTGTGAGAGGGTGTGCGCATGCAAATGAGCCGTATGTAAATGAGCGATATTTAAATGAGCAATATGTAAATGAGCGAGGAGGACCCTGGGCCTCCACAGCACTTTATGTAAATGAGGGGGGGCGTGGTTACGCGATGATGGATTTATGTAAATGAGGGCGTTATGCAAATGACGCCGTCGCCGTGTTGTCGATATGCAAATGAGATGCAAACGAGCGACGAGAATCGTCCCAGCGGGTTAATCAATATGTAAATGAGCTGTACATAAACAAGCGTTATGCAAATGAGCACCGACGCAGCCGCACAAATGCACATCTCACTTAATTGCGATATGCAAATGAGCACGCGAATGAGGCGGGGCATGCAAATGAGCACCGAGCACCGTATGCAAATGAGCACCGCCGCGTCCAACACATCGCTGTATGCAAATGAGCGCCCGTATGCAAATGAGTGCCATAATTAACGGATTAATTGTGCCAAGCCCCGGCGCGTGCCGATATGTAAATGAACATGCAAATGAACATGCAAATCAGCCGGACTGACGAGCCTTGATTCCTTGGTGGGGGGAGGGGCGCCAGTATGCAAATGATATGCAAATGACATGCTGATGAGGTGCCTGCTGCCGTGAGCTGCTATGCAAATGAGCCGTATGCAAATGAGGCGGGTGATGTCATCGGGGGAGGTTTTGGGGTCGATTCCAGGGATTTTGGGGGTTCCTGGGAGGGTGATGACGTCATGGGTGTGTCAATGACGTCATCAGAGGGTGTTAATGACGTCATCAGGGGGTGGCGGGGCCGTTTTTGGGATCGATGACGTCACCGGGGGGGGTCAGGGGGGG